GCTATGCTGTGGCCTCATCACAGTTTCTAATGCCACTGTCTAACAAGAGGAGCAGACGTCCCACTCTCATCTTGTATGATTGTTCAGTCATTAGTCACTGTGTCTGCTCCTGCAGAACCCCAGCAGCTCTGCCCCTCCCTTATCTTTCTGTTTCTTCCCTCCTGATCTTGGGGATCCCCTTCTACCCATCCCACGTCCTGTGCCCTGCCCAGTTTTTCACTAACTCATCTCGCCTAACAGTGCTTCCCTGCTTCAGATCTGCATAGGACACTTACTTTCTGACATAATTCAATTTTAACTCCACTGAAAGCCTTCCCAGTGATTCTGTGTTACTGTTTGAAATTCCTAATTGGTGGTAATAGCACATGTGTATGGGATACAGAGATATGTTTTGATACAGTATACATTATAATGAGTAAACTATGGTAATTAGCATATCCATTGTCTTAGATCCTCATCATTCCAGCGGCTTTTAACCAGCAGGGGTTCTGTTCACGCCTCCCCATGGTAATGTCTGGAGACATTTTGCATTGCTAAGCCTAGCGAGACAGGGCAGGGGTGACAACATGTAATGCATACAGGACTCACTCTGCTGGTGCTGAACATTCCACACTGCACAGGACAACCTCCTAGCACAACAGAATGACCCTGCCTGCTCCAAATCTCCACAGTACTGGCAGGAAGAAGCCCTGATCTAGCCCACTGGTACCATACAGCCTGTCACACTCCTCTGGGCTCTCATGCAGGCAGCTTGGTTTCCTTACTGGCTCTGGGGCGGGCCACCCCCCATTGCCTTTGGGAGAGTGTATGGTAGGAAGAGCACAGCTCTGGACCAGCACCAGTGGGGTCCAGTCCCACCACACGCAGGCCTGACTTGACCAGGCTGTGCCTTGGCTTCCTCCTGTAAAACCAAGCACAAGGTCCATCTATTCATGGCATCCAAAAGGGCCCAGAAGGAGCTGCTCTTTGTCCTGGGGGTTCCATGCACGTGCTTTGTTGGATTCTCCACACACTGGTGCTCCTCTTTGAGGAGTCGAGCTCCCCATCTTGCAATTGCTTATTTCATATCTGTTTTTACTAGTTTGGACACTTCAGCACATGGGGACATGTGTGTCTTGCTCGCTTTTGTGTCTGGGTAGCTCATGTGAAGGCATCGACAATATCTGAATGAATGAATGAATCAATGAATGAAAATAAAGGCTGAGGTAATGTTGTGGGCCATTTCCCACCATATGAAGCATAAGTGTTTAAAAGGCATTTTTAGCTCTGTGAGATATACAAGTAACTGATGGATAATGAACTATACATTCTAAAGTGTGGCGCTCCACATCTGTGACCTAAGTTCACAACTGTGAACCCATCAACCACAAGGTCACAAACGCACCTTCCCTCCCTAAATGCCTTCTTGGATTCTTTTATAAACCGAGAAAAGTCTAACTGAACTCTTCACAGAGCCCCACACCTGTGAGGCCAAATCTGGTCCTTGGTGTCAGTTTCCTCATCTGTAAAATGGGGAGTTCTGACTTTGCAGCGTTGTGTGAGGTCCACATAAGGTGCCTCACCAAAGTCTCAGCAGCGTGGGAAGAGATGGGCACAGCAGGCTTTTCCTTACCCCCCCCCCCAAACTCCCCTTGCCTGGAATTCTCTCCCTTCCCCCCCAGTGACAACCTTCTTCCCTTTCAAGCCCCCTTGGGGCCACCTGTCTGGACATTCTGTCTGACCCTTCTCTCTTTATTTCAGAAGCCTTTACGGTCAGGAGCCCACAACTCAAGCTTTCTCACTCTTGCTTGGTTTTACTTGTATTTCTTTCTCTCTTCCCAAACACAGAGAAAATAACACACACACACAGGTCAAATTTGTATCACAAATATTTCCCCTCGCCCACCTTTGCTATTCCTGACTCGAGGGTGACAACACACTCAGAAGAGGCTTACTAACTTGCTTATAAAAGTTGTTTCATCTTGAGGACTTTTGTGCTATTATTTTTCCTAGTTCATCTTACACATAATCGTGTAAGCATACCTGCGGTCTAACACTGACGAGGAACGCTCCCGTCTGCCCAGCACTCCCACTGCTCTGCTTGTGAGTGCCTGGATAGTTCCCACATACACTGGGAACCTGTACAGAGCTGTGCTCCCGGAGCAGATGGACCCTGGCCTTCTGCCTTCTTTCCCCAGTCTGCTACTGTGGACACTTCTTCATTTATTGGCACAGTCTTCATCATTATCCTTGTGTTTTAGTGGCTGCATAATCCTTAAGCACATGGGTGTAGCCTAATCTACACACAGCACTGTTTTCCTTCAGCTGGTGACCGCGGCTGGCTCTGAATTTCCATTATTAAACCCAAAGCGGTATCTGCTGACTGCTTGGCGGTGACCAGGCTCAGGAGCAGCACAGGGCTCTGAAGCATGCAGCTAGGTAGCTGCAAAGTTGACCTGACTCAGAGCCCTTTCCTGCCAGCAGGAGGACTGGAGAGTCACCATATTCACAGCTTCCTGCTCATTTTTAGTCTAATCCCAGGCTCTCCCCTTACAACCGCAGTGAGCACTCAGGAGGTGGCCGTGGTCTCAACACACGACAGGAGGTGGCAGGGAGCTGGGTCGCAGGCGCTGCTGCCTTCTGCTTTGGATCTTGGTGACACCAACCCTGCAACCTTCAGCTTCTGTGAGCCCTGGCTCCTCTCAGATTCCCAAGCACAGGCTCTGGCCCTGCTCCGCAGTGCCCCTCCCTGGCCAACGTCTCGCCCTCCACCCCAGGCTCGAGCCCTCTTTGCTTGCTGCCATGTCTGACCGCCCCTCCTGCAGCTGGTCACTAGCATGGTGCGTGCTCCACCAGAGTGCACAGCCAACTTGCAATGCAATGACTTCCCTTCACAGTTTTACTTTTTGTCCCTTCCTCCCTAACTAGACTCAAGCTTCATGAGGATAGTGACTCTTGAGGGAGTCATTTCTGGAATGAGAGAAAAGTCTGTGGGAGGTAACAGTGGTAGCTTGAGGTCGCTCTGCAAGTGACAGCTGTAGAGGCTCCAGTTGAAGCTCCTTGGGAGCCACGGTCCCCGATAAAGAGCCATCCTTAACGCTCCCCAGCGATCTCCGGACAGCTCAGAAACAAGGCCAGCTTCTAAGTCTAGTTTCACAGCTCTCATTTCGTCTCTTGGGCTGCTGGAAACAGCGGAACCATCTTCCATTCTATCCAACCTCTCCATTTAAAATGTTAAAAGCAAACCTGAAAATTCAGTCCATGGTGGATTTCCCAAAAATCTTCCCAAGTTTCACCAAATCCAATCTAAACTGATCTCCCCTAAACCACCAGCTCGTGCACTCCCCGGTCTTTCATTTTTCCATCTTCATCTATGATGCAGAGAGCACCTTTTCTTTACCAGGATGCTGCCTGGGAAACCGAGTATATTTGCTGCTTACAAGGGAGAGCTGAAAAATAGAAACGCAGAGACGATGGCTCCTTTGCCAACGCCAGGTCCTCTCTGGAGCTATGAGCACAGCAGGGCCCGGGAATGAGCTGGGATGCTGAGTAGCAGCCGGAGCGCGACACATAAATCATCCGGAGTCGTGGTGGCAGCTGCGCTTCCCACCCGATTCCCTGCGTTTTCACACACACCTGGCCATGACCAGTAGGTCCGGAACGCCAGGTGGATCAGGTGATGGTCAACACTGCTGCAGCAGATTACGACTTCGGCAGACTGCTGGCCCTGCTGCCATCTCTGCACCCTCCTCCAGTGATCCTTCAAAGCCCAGATCAGCTCCTGTCACCACACGCGTGCTTCAGGAGCTTTCGCTCACCCACCACTTGGAGTCCACATTTGCTAAGTGGTACACGGCTTTTATACATGTGTGACACCTGTCGCCTTGCCCAGCACTGTCTCGTACACCTCCTTCCCTCTTCTGCCCAGCAGTCCGCTGAGAATATGCATGATTACATCAGATAACCACACTCCCCTCACGATGCATCCCAAGAAGCTTTTCTGCGTTTCTCCCAGTCTCTGAGGCCCCCCAGTTCCTGACCGTGTGCATGGGGCTCCAAGAGCAGCCCCTCCCCCATGGCCTCCTTCCTCCTTGGCATAAACTTCCTTCTGCAAAGAAGCACTCTGTGCAATGAAAGCACCGGCTTCCAGGTCCAGATGCCTGGCTTCCATCCAGGCCCCGCCTCTTTCTACTTGTGCCAGGCCTGGATATTTCCTATTTGCATCCATTAAGATATGGCCAAGGAGCCAAGCACCAGCAACCCAATTTGAACAGGTCTGACCTATGAATACCTCCCACTCGTGGCCCTTCAATATCTTTTCCCATCAGCCACCCAGAAGCAAAGGATCAAAAGACCCAAGACCATGGCGGAACCATTGGGTGAAAGCAGTCTGGGATGGTGAATTTCTTTTCTTTGTTCCTTTTTTTTAAAAAAAATGTATTTAGTAAAGGATCTACAGGGCCTCACTGTGCAGCTCAAACTTGTAGTGATCCTTCCTGTTTTTCAGCCTCCCAAGAGCTGGTATTACAGGTGCAAGCCACCACGCCCACTCTCAATCACTGTCTCAGCATGCCCCAGGGGTGGGGCCGGTACAACAGGCTGGGGATCTAACCCCCAGACCCTGCATCTGCCTAAGCAGGCACTTTAATCCTCTGAGCTATCCGGCTGGCCCAGGGTTGGTGAATCTCTTTACAGAAGATCATCCACCCAACATCCACCATGGTTGCTATGTGCATGAATGAGAATTAAACTTCTATGTATGACGACAGCACAGTAACAGCCTGAATAACTTTTGACACATTCGTTCTGTGCGTTACTTAATGGCTTTGTTCCTTGAGATAAAAATAGGGTTGCTGAAGGATTAGATAATGTGTGAAGCTTTGGGCCCAGAGCTATATACTACTAAGCCCCCAGTATAGGTTCACAATTATTACCTCATTAGCCATCTTTTAAATGAACATCATTATTCTTTGAGAGGCAAGCAAGGGCCAATCTGGTGCTCTGTGGAGCAGACCCCTTACCTTTTCACCTCCTGCACATAGTCTGCATTTCTGTCGAAGAGGTGGGTCACGGAGTCTTTGATTGCTTCATGCTTGAAAGTAGAAGCTGTCCCAAAAACAGTCACATTGGGGATGGTGGAACACAGCTGAGCCACAGCCTGACCCTAGAAATGACATATAAACAGGCCAGTCACACCCGAGGGCTACTGTGTTAAATGACATATGCCATGACATAACAGGTGGTGCTAGTTGCCTAGCAACCATCCCACGTGGTGCAGAGCAGGCTTTCTGAACTTTGGTGCTACTGACATTTTTAGGTTAGATTAGTCTTTGTACCAGCAGCTAAACTGTGCATTGTAGGTTGTGGGGCATCCTCCCTGGCCTCTGCCTGTAGACGCAGGTAGCACCTTATCTTTCCTAGTTGTGACAACCAAAATTGTTGTCAGGAGGACTAAGCCTGCCCTGTTTGAGAATCACTGGTGTAAAGGAGAGCCAGTGAGGGTCAGACAAGCCCCGGCATGAAGACTCCGCTCTCAGTTCCATACACAGAGCTATAAATTGGCAATTCCCAGCTCCCCTGGGAAACATCAGAGCTTGGATCTCCCACAAGCAGACTCTGAGACCGACATTTGAGTGTAAGCGCTCAACTGGACGATGATCTCAGAAAATAACATGGTACTAAGACCGTGAAAAAGGAGTTTTCAAGCCCAGATCCACCATGGACCACTGCAGTTTCATCCCTTGGAAGACTGTGAGCAAGTACAGAATAGGCCCAAGGGCCATCCCAGCCAAGGATGGGGGAGCGGGGTATTCATCCCACACACACCACAGCACACTGGCTGGAGACTGCTGTGCAGCGGCTCGTGTGTACCCATGCCTCACCTTTGCAGGCCAGGTGTGAACTCCTGGCCTCACAGAAGCCCCCAGGGAGCAACTCCCAAGATGCAGAGTTCAGGGGGAACCTTGCATGGCTGCAGCAGCAGCTGCTTCAGGAAGATGCTAAATGAGGTATGCTATCATGCAGGGCAAGGACCCAGCACAAAATGTGATACTTAATAAATCTTAATTTTCTTCGACCATTTTGGGGACTATTATATCTGGGGCTGAGAGGTCCAGGCATATCAAAAAAAGGGCAAGTTGAATTTTAAATACTAAATGGTCCAGGGAGAAATTACAAATGCAGTTAGGAGTGAATGGTTTTCTAATCCTTTTTCAATACGGTTGAAATCTAAATCACCAGACAAAGTATTGCAACCACATTCACCCAGCAACCTTCTAGCAAAAGCCAATTCGCCAGCAATTAAGATGCATTCCAAAACCACTGTCTCTTTCCAGCATCTCATCTGCCATCTGGAGGAGGGAAGCGATTCTCCCAGCATCATCTGCGGTATGTACTTCTGCTCCTCATCCCAATTTCACGTCTTCAGGTTGGTGGATAATTCAGGATGGCAGGTCAATTTTTTGAAATGTTATCACCAGTCGCAATTAAAGGCAACATGAGGAGACTCCTAGAATGTCAGAGTTGGACAATTGTGCAGGTGCCTGCTCCCCATCATTGTCTTATAGATGAGGGAAAGGGCACCCAGAAAGGAAAAGGTCACATCTTTCAGAGGCACATTGGCATTCAAAGCAAGGCCTCCTGACATCCCTGATGGCCATATCTGATTAATTCATGCTGTCTGCCGATTTTAACATTTTAAGCTAAACAGACATTTCCGTTGTTACCTAAAATAGACATGTCGCTGGCGCATTCACTTGGAGGTCAACATTTCAGAGCATGGGTGGGACCCTAAGACTAGAGTCATGGGCTCCCAGTCTCTGTGCTAAGAATAGTTTTGATATTTAACTATTTATCCCAGATTTTTACAGAACAAAGATAGTTCTGTCTTGCCTAGTGAATGCAAATATCCCCAGCCAAAGCAACAGGTCACTAAAATTCACTGGCTTTATCTAAGCCATGGTCAGAGCTCTGTGACAGGACTGAGCTAACTGTGTTAGATCTGGACTAGAAAGTTAGAATAATCTCAATAGCCTCTCAGTATTGCCCTCTGTCCTTACGCAATGTGACCTTTATTTATTTGACTATTCTCAAGTGCAGGGGCTCAGAAACCGCTGGCACACCTGTCACTCTGCCTGCTGCTCACTGAGTCCTGGGCTTGCATTTATAGCTACCTTTTGGACACTCGTCTCCACCTGGCCCAAACCACACAGCAAACTCAACTGCCCTAAAGCATAACTCACAAGCATTCCCCAAAGAGTTGATTAGTGGAATCAGCTTGCTAGGGCTGTTGTCAGGAAATGCAATGACCAGCCCTGGCACCTCACATCTGTGACAAGCTGGGGCTTCACATCCAAGGTCAAGCCTCTACCACAGTTGGCTCCTTCTGAAGGCAGCAGGGGAAGAATCAGTTCCGGGCCTTTCTACTCAGCTTTCAGGTAGCCTTACTTGCCATCTCTTTACATCATCTTCTCTCATGACAATTTCTCATGTCCAAATTTCACCCTTCTCATGAGGTCACAGAGGAGTAAGATCTACTCCATAGACCTCTGAAAAGATTCTGCTATTGCTTGGATCATAAATGTTCTCCAAAGACCATGTGTTGAAGATTTGTTCCATGGAGCGGTGCTATTGGGAGGTTGTGAGACCTCTAAGAGGTGGGAGAGTTTAGGTTACTGGGGAGCTTTTGAAGGTCTAATGGAATGCTAGCCCCCTCCCCTCTCTCTCTGCTTCCTGGTCACCATAGTAGATGCACTCTACCGTGTGCATCTGGTCTTGATATACTCTTTCAACTAAGGTCCCGAAGCAATGGAGCCAATCGATCATGGACTGGGAACATCTAAACCTGAAAGGCAAAGAGAAAGACATTCTTCCTCTTCATAGGTTGATTTATCTCAGGAATTTATGACAGAAATGGAACCCTGACAAACACACAGAGTCCCATTCTGAGAGTTAGCTAGGAATTTGGTGTGTGTGTGGGGACACAATTCAACCCTCATATTTCTCGTATGCATTCCCTTCTTCTGTGAACTGGAATGAATTATTCAACCACCAAAGCCAGGACTCTGGGCATCACCCGTCACCTTGATCCTCCTTCTCACTTACCCCAACACCAGCCAGGCACCAACACCTTCTTTATTCCTCAACATCTCTTGTGACTGTCCCTTCTTGGGCTGGGTGGCCACATTCCCTTCCTTAGATTATGACACCACTCTTCCAAGGGTGTCCTCCTGGGGTCAGAGAAGCACCTCCCAAACACAACAGTAATCATTTTGTTATTTGCTTAAGACATCAAAAGGCCAACACCTGTCATGCTTCTGAGAAAAGTGCACACCTTTTATTCTATCCATAAGAATGGCCCTGTGACCTGACCCTGCGTGTCTTGTTAACATTCTTCTCCGCATCTCCCAGTATTTTCTCTCTACAAGACCATGGAACTTGAGCCACTGCTGAACATTTGTCATGGGCCTGGTGCCAAGGAGCCCTCCTTGGGGCCAGCGAGATAGCTCAGTGGACTAAAGCACCTGCTTAGGCAAACTTAGGGAAGTGCTGGGACTGTGGCTTGAGCCCCCCACCCCCACCCCCACATGCCATGCCAGCCCCGCCCCCAGGACAGGCTGAGCTGGCCAGTGCCCAGGCATAGTGGTGCATGCCTGTAATCCCAGCACTGGGGAAGCTGAAAGCAGGAGGATCACCATGAGTCTGAGCTGCTTAGTGAGACCCTGTAACAACCAAATACATTTTTTTAAAAAGCTCTCCTCTGTTGGCTCTCTCTGTGTAAGCCCTTGACCTTGTTTTCCTGAGTAGGAGGCTGAAGTTTGACAGGAGGGTCCTGGACCAAGGCTGTAGAATCAGAGCATGGTCTGCTTGACTTCTTGCCACTGCACTAGGTGTTGGAACCTCTACTGACCCATCCTCAGTATGTATTAGTGTGCGAGTGCACACAGTCCAGGAGTGGGCTGGAACCGTGTGGCACGATGCATCAGACAGCCCAGGGCAGCAGTGGCAGCAGGTCTGTGTGCTTCCAGCAGCTCCTCATCTGCGGTGCTGGTGCAGCCTCGGTCTATGCTGCTGTCTGCATACCTTCCCTGGCCTGGCCTCCCTTCTCCCCTCCTGCTTCTTCCAACGCAGCTGCTCCACCAGGTTCTTTATCTTCCAGGAATCTTGTCCAATGTCCCAGCTGCCTTCTTTCATGCCACCACATCCCTGTGGGTGCTTCCTTCAGGACGGTAACCACTGCAGCCTCCTGCGTTTCCCTGCAGCCCCCTGGCAAGCCACAGGGACTGTCTCTTAACCGCTCTGCCCCATTTCAGGGCCCACACAGAGCTGGGCATGCAGCAGGTGTGTGCTGAAGCTTGTGGAATGGATGCATGAGAAACTGGAGGATGTCGTGTCTTAGGGCTGCCCTCTCCTCCCACCATGGCAGGTCTTTTAGTGTTGCAGAGATGGAGTAAAGCACAGGCTTAAAAAATTTACCTCTATTTTAACTGACACAAAGTATTGTTTGTATTTGAACGCAGGCACACAATGCCTAATGATCGGATCAGGGTAACTACCATGCCTACAGTCATACATAGATCATTTTGCATGGGGAACCTCCCAAATCCTCTCTACCAGCAATATTTTCTGAAATGTTTTCTTAATTGCTGTCAACTATAGTTACCATACCGAGCAGTAGAATAGTAGGGGTTGCTTCTCCTACCAACAGCACCCTGTATCAGCTAATCGCCCTCTCTTCAGCCCACCCCCACGCTGCAATCCAGCTGCTGGTAGCCATGGTTCTATTCTCTACTTCTTTGAGACTAACTTTCTAGCCTCCACATAAATGAAATCAGGTGGTTCTTGCATCCTGCGCCCACGTATGTCATTCAACATAATGTCTGCCAGTTCCACTTATGTTGCTGCAAATGACAGAATGTCATTAGTTCTGGGCTAACTGATGTACCAGCTTGCATATAGACCACATTTTCCTGATCACTTCACCCACTGATGGACACTCAGGCTTGCTCTGTATCTTAGCTATGGTGCATAAGGCTGCAGTGAGCACGCAGTTGCATGTTCCTCTTCAACCCACTGATCGAAACTCCTTTGGGTAGACACCCAGCAGGGGGATTGCTGGATCCTGTCAGCCATGTGGGAGAGTTCCTCTTTCTCCTTTAAAGTGTA